GAGAAAATCAACAAAATAGACAAACCTCTGTCCAAACTAACCAAAAGACAGAGAGAGAACATGCTAATTAACAAAATCAGGGATGAGAAAGGGGACATAACAACGGACTCTGAGGAAATCAAGAGAATCATCAGGGCATACTTTGAAAATCTGTACTCCACAAAATTTGAAAATTTAAAGGAAATGGACAATTTCCTGGATAGATATCACTTGCCAAAACTAAATCAAGAACAGATAAATAATCTAAACAGACCTATAACCCCTAATGAAATAGAAGCAGTCATCAAAAGTCTCCCAAACAAAAAAAGCCCAGGCCCAGATGGCTTCAGTGCAGAATTCTACCAGAAATTCAAAGAAGAGCTCATTCCAATACACGTCAAAGTATTCCACACTATAGAAGCAGGAGGCTCACTGCCAAACTCTTTCTACGAGGCTACAATTACCTTGATACCCAAGCCACACAAAGACACAACTAAGAAAGAGAACTATAGACCAATTTCCCTCATGAACATTGATGCAAAAATACTCAATAAAATACTTGCAAACCGGATTCAAGAACACATCAGAAAAATCATCCACCATGATCAAGTAGGCTTCATTCCAGGAATGCAGGGATGGTTCAACATTAGAAAACCTATCAATGTAATCCACCATATTAACAATCTGCGAAAGAAAAACCACATGATCATCTCACTAGATGCTGAAAAAGCCTTTGACAAAATCCAGCACCCCTTCATGATAAAGGTCCTAGAGAGATCAGGGATAACAGGAACGTACCTGAATATAATAAAAGCAATATACAGTAAACCAACAGCTAACATCAAACTAAATGGAGAGAAACTCAAAGCAATTCCTCTAAAATCAGGAACAAGACAAGGCTGTCCACTCTCTCCATATCTCTTCAATATTGTACTTGAAGTTCTAGCTACAGCAATAAGACAACAAAAGGAGATAAAGGGGATACAAATAGGAAAAGAAGAAGTCAAACTTTCATTATTTGCAGATGATATGATAGTTTACATAAATGACCCAAAAAACTCCGCAAGGTTACTCCTAGAGCTGATAAACACCTTCAGCAATGTGGCAGGATACAAGGTAAACTCAAAAAAAAAATCAGTGGCCCTATTATATACAGATGATGAAGTGACTGAGAAAGAAATCAGAGAAACATCACCTTTTACAATAGCCAAAAACAGCATCAAATATCTGGGGATAATGTTAACCATGGAAGTGAAAGACCTGTATATCAAGAACTTTGTGTCTTTGAAGAAAGAAATCAAGGAAGATACCAGAAAATGGAAAGATCTCCCATGCTCTTGGATTGGTAGGATCAACATAATAAAAATGGCAATCTTGCCAAAAGCAGTCTATAGATTCAATGCAATCCCTATCAAAATTCCATCACAATTTTTCAAGGACCTGGAAAGAACATTAATCAACTTTATATGGAAAAACAAAAGGCCCAGGATAGCCAAAACATCCCTATACAATAAAGGAACTTCAGGAGGCATCACCATACCTGACTTCAAGCTCTATTATAGAGCTATAGTCCTGAAAACAGCTTGGTATTGGCACAAAAATAGGCAGGTAGACCAATGGAACCGAATCGAAAGCCCTAATTTTAACCCACACACCTATGAACACCTGATTTTTGACAAAGAAGCTAAAACTGTACAGTGGAAAAAAGAAAGCATCTTCAACAAATGGTGCTGGCATAACTGGGTAGTGGTATGCAGAAGACTGCAGATAGATCCATGTTTATCGCCTTGTACAAAACTTAAGTCCAAATGGATCAAAGATCTCAACATACATCCAGCCACACTGAAACTTTTAGAAGAGAAAGTGGGAGATACTCTTCAACGAGTTGGTACAGGAGACCACTTCCTAAACATAACACCAGTGGCACAGGCACTGAGATCAACAATTAACAAATGGGACCTTCTGAAACTAAAAAGCTTCTGTAAGGCAAAGGACACAATCAAAAAGACAAAAAGGCAGGCCACAGAATGGGAAAAGATATTCACTAACCCTACATCTGACAGAGGGCTAATCTCCAAAATTTACAAAGAACTCAAGAAACAAGTCTCCAAAACACCAAAGGATCCACTTGAAAGGTGGGGTACAGAGCTAAATAGAGAATTCTCAGTAGAGGAGGCTAAAATGGCCAAGAGACACTTAAGAAAGTGCTCAACATCCTTAGCCATCAGGGAAATGCAAATCAAAACAACTCTGAGATACCATCTTACTCCTGTCAGAATGGCTAGAATCAAAAACACCGAAGACAATTTATGCTGGAGGGGATGTGGAGAGAGAGGAACACTCCTCCACTGCTGGTGGGAATGCCAACTCATACAGCCTCTTTGGAAATCAGTATGGAGATTCCTCAGGAAAATGGGAATTAATCTACCACTAGACCCAGCAATTCCACTCTTAGGCATTTATCCAAATGAGGCAGGTTCATACAACAAGGGCATCTGCTCCACTATGTTCATAGCAGCATTGTTTGTAATAGCCAGAACCTGGAAGCAACCTAGATGCCCCTCAACTGAAGAGTGGATAGAGAAAATGTGGTACATTTACACAATGGAGTATTACTCAGCAGAAAAAAACAATGGAATCTTGAAATTCGCAGGGAAATGGATAGCACTGGAAGAAACCATCCTGAGTGAGGTAACCCAGTCGCAAAAAGACAAACATGGTATGTACTCACTCATATATGGATTTTAGATATGGATCAGGATAGTGCCAGTCTGCACTTCCACAGATAGAGAGTCTGGGAAACAGGAAAGAACCTAAAAGATATGCATATATGCATAGTACCCAAGAGAAGAGGATGGAGACAAGATCCTCTGAATGGATGGGGAACAGGGCGGGGGGGGGTAGTGGGACCTGGGAAGAATAGAGGGGGTAAAGAGGAAGGGAGTTGGTCATGGGGGAACAGGAAGTTGAGGGGGTGGGGGTAGAATAGGGGGAAGAGGGAATCATAGGATCGAAGACAGATCAGGCACCAGAGTGACCTCGAGTGATCTAAAGGTATAACATCAATTGGCAAGCTAAACAATAGTGGAAGGACCACCTCGAATGCCCATTCCTGATAATGAACTTGATGTCTATAACTACCCGGGAGCCTTTATCCTGGGACTGATGGAAGCAGAGGCAAACACACAACTAAGCACTGAACTGAACCCAAGGAACCCAGTGACAGAGAGAGAGGAATGATGAGCAAATTGGCAAAGAATGGGCTGGCAAAACCAGAAGAGACAGCTGATCTGAACAGGGGAGTGCTCTTGGACCCTAGACCGACAGTGGGGAGGCCAGAATGGGACTGATCTGGACCCCCCAAATGTGAGTGTCAGTGAGAAGGCCTGGACAACCTATGGGGCTCTGAGCTGTGGATCAGTGTCTATCCCTGGTATACAATCTGTCTTCATGTGCCTATAGCACAAAGAGAGATGCTCTCTCAGCCTGGACTCTTAGGGGAGTGCCTTGACCCTACCAAGTGTAAAATGATAGACTCTAGACATCCCCTATGTGGAAGGATTTGGCAATAGGGTGGGAGGGAGGGTGGAAGGGGAGTGCGGGAGGAGGGGAGGGAGAGGGAACTGGGATTGACATGTAAAACAAGCTATTTAAAATTAAAAAAAATACTCGCAAAAAAAAGATACATTGAAAAGTGTTTTTTGATATTAATGTCTTAGAAACATTTGTTACTTAAAGATTTATCATGTGCTGAAAACAGTCTTCGGTTCTAGGAGTGCATATCAGTGAATATTAATATAATGACTACTATATCTTAATGATAATATACAGACATTTTGGAATAATTGAACAAAATTATTTCTACAGCTATTGAATACATTAAGAAGAATTGTGTGCTGTATAGAGGATTAGAAGTGTCAACTTTGTATTGCATGAGAATGGTTACTCTGTGGCCCACAGTAATGCTTATTCAGATACCTGTGTCCTCATACAATAATGAAACATTCAGAGAAACTTAATCAGCATTTGTAATATATGTTATGATCTTCCTATCATTACATGAATATTACCTGTAATTTCAATTCTATTTGATAAAACGGCTCAAATGGAAAGAGGCTGTTGAAGAAGGCACTCTTCTAGGAGGGGGGTTGCGCTCTACTTTGGTACATCCCAGCCTTGAATTCATTAGAGCCTTCTAATAAAAATCAGAAAATCCATATAGAAGTTATTAAAAGAGCACTCAAAATTCGTGAAATGACAATTACTAAGAATGCAGGTGTCGATGGATCTTTGATAGTTGAGAAATTTCTGCAGAGTTCCTCGGAAGTTGGTTATGATGCTATGCTTGGAGATTTTGTGAACATGGTGGAAAAGGGAAACATTGATCCAACACAGGTTGTAAGAACTGTTTTACTGGATGCTGCTGGGGTAGCCTCCTTACTAACTAGAACAGAAGCTGCAGTGACCGAAATTCCTGAAGAAGAGAAGGATCCTGGTATGGGCACAATGGGTGGACAGGGAGAAGGTATGGGAGGTGGCATGTTCAAACTCCTAGAATAGTGCTTTGCCCTTATCAATCAACTGTGACAGGAAGCTCAAGGCAGTTTCCTCAGCGTTAACTTCTGAGACATCATCTGAAGAAAATAACTGAGAGAAGGTTGGCTGATCACTATAACTATCAGTTACTGGTTCCGATTGACAATTCATAATGGTTTACTGCTGTTATTGTTTATGTCTATAGAAATTTATTTTGTATTTTTGAATAAAGGCATTTGTACATTCCTAATATTGGCTACAAGAGCCATATACCAGTGTCCTACTTTCAACTTAAATCACTGAGGCAGTTATACTGTTCTGTCACAGTCAGGATTGTAGTCAACAGATGAGAAGTTCACAAGCAGCCTTTCTGTGGAGACTGACAATAATTGTGTAAAACATATAGAAGTATCCAATCTTATGACAACATTTGTGTAATAAATTTTTGTTAAAAAAAACAAAGGAAAAAGGTTATAAGCACATACCTGACTCTGCAGCTAATTCTGAGATGCTATGTTTTCCCATGTCCATTCTGTACTGTCATTCATATTTAATCTGCCCAGTGCTCATCAGTCGCCTGGTGTAGGAAAAGTATCAATAATTAATATTTCTTCTGTTGTCAGTGACATAAGAGATAAAAGTAAAAAGTTGAAAATAATTGCACTGCACGTTAAAATGACAGGTGAAAACCAGTGTGTGTGTGTTCTGAAGTATTATTGGCATTACAGCAGGAAATACTATATAAACTGATTTTCATTAAGATCAAAGCCCAAGGGTCTAAAATTTAAAAGTAAATCGCAAAAGCTTAAAAATCATTTTGTTTGAGATGTTATATCTTGAAATTACAGAGAAACCTACAATTCTTATGAAATAATAACATTGTACAATAAGGGTAGAAAGCTGAATTCCGGGGAGGTGCTTGGCCACACCATACAGCAATAACAGAACATTTTAAAAACATGCCAGCATCTGCATTGACATTCCTTAGCTGGTGAAACTGGTGTTTTTGAGTGCATTGAAGCTAGATTTGCCTGAAAAAGCCTAGCAAATTGCTTACTTATCTGACAACAATATAATTAACAGGAGAAAAAGAAGTCACTTACTACTCAGGAGTATTGGTTTATGAAATCTTTGGTCATAATATGAGGATGTGAGAAACAATTCTCCACATACTCCAAACAACAGAGATGAATGGCGCTAAAGACCAGAAATTTAAAAGGAATGCTTGTGACAATGCATAACAAATCACAAAATTTAAAAACAGCAACAACGTCCACAAACCAAAAGCAAGTATAACCACCAAGAACTGTCATATCTTATCAGAAACAACAATGCAGCTCTTTGTCCAGACAAAAACACAGAAATAAAGTTAATGATCATAAACTTTATTATGATTGACTTCTGCAGCATTGACAGTTCTATATCTATTCAACAAACTTTTGTAGGAAATTTCCTTTACAATTTTTATCCTATTATTTTTATATTTTCATCCCACAGTTTTAAACCAATATCATTACATCTTTTGCAATTTTTGATGAGCTATAGTTCATTTTTACATATTTCCTAAACTGTATATATGCAACATGTAAAAGCTTTTAGAAAAAATAATACTTAAGTATTATTTTGTAAAGTTGATTCCACAAATTTGTCTTTGTTACACACACACACTCACACATGCACACACATAATTATATAATGTATATGTTACTTGCAAATAAAAATATAATAAATCAAAATTATACAGACATAACCTCCATATATCTCAATGAATTTCTGTACAAGTGGCATGGCCATTGTGAAGCTGTGAAGCTTCACACTAAGTTTACTACATTTAATATCAATTACATTTTTATGCACTTACCTACCACCAACATAAAAAATCGAAATCAGTGTTAAAACTAAAATAATAATTGACTCATAGCTTTTTGATTTTTTTTCCTTTTTTTCTTTAGGTTAGAAATAATCATGTTTCACATGTCAATCCCAGCTCCTCTCCCTCCCCTCTTCCCCCACCCTCCCCATCAGGTCCCCCAGTCCCTCACCCAATCTCCAGTCCGATCCCCAAGGAGGGTGAGGCCCTCCATGGTGGATCTCCAGTAACTGTCATTTCATCCAGGGCAGGGCCTAGGCCTTCCCACAAGAGTCCAAGCTGAGAGAGCCTCCCATTGTGGCATGGATACTCAAAGTTGATTTGTACACCAGGGATAAATACTACCCAAGGCCCCAGAGATTACCTAGGCCTTCTCACTGACACCCACATTCAGGGGATCTGGGTCAGTCCCATGATTTCCACACTGCCATCAATCTGGAGTCCAAGAGCTCCCCCTTGTTCAGGTCAGCTGTTTCTGTGGGTTAAACCAGCCCACTCTTAACTCCTTTGCCCATCAGTTCTCTCTTTCTGACACTGGATTACGGGATTTCAGTTCAGTGTTTGTCTGTGGGTATCTGCCTCTGCTTTCATCAGTTGATGGATGAAGGTTCTGTTTCCAGAGGCAGTGGTATTGTATGCTGGCACTCCCATGATTCATGTCTAAAATCCATAAATGAGTGAGTACATGCCATGTTTCTCTTTTTGTGACATACCTCACTCAGTATGGTTTCTTCTAGTGCCTTCCATTTGCCTGCATATTTCAAGATTCCATTGTTTTTTTTTCTGCTGAATAGTACTCCATTGTGTAAATGCACCACATTTTCTCTATTTACTCTTCAGTTGAGGGGCATCTAGGTTGCTTCCAGGTTCTGGCAATTACAAATAATGCTGCTATGAACGTAGTGGAACAGATATCCTTGTGGTATGAATGTGCATCTTTTGGGTATATGCCTAAGAGTGGAATTGCTGGGTCTTGTGGTAGACTGATTCTCATTTTCCTGAGGAATCTCCATATTGATTTCCAAAGTGGCTGTACAAGTTGGCACTCCCACCAGCAGTGGAGGAGTGTTCCCCTTTCTCCACATCCTCTCCAGCATAAACTGTCCTTCAAGTTTTTGATTTTAGCCATTCTGACAGGAGTGAGATGGTATCTCAATGTTGTTTTGATTTTCATTTTCCGCATGGATAGGGATATTGAGCACTTTCTTAAGTGTCTCTCAACCATTTTAGTCTCTTCTATTGAGAATTCTCTGTTTAGTTCTGTGCCCCATTTTTTGATTGGGTCCTTTGGTGTTTTGGAAACTTGCTTCTTGTGTTCTTTGTAAATTTTGGAGATCAGCCCTCTGTCAGATGTGGTGTTAGTAAATTTCTTTTCCCAATCTGTGGTGTGCCTTTTTGTCTTGCTGACTGTGTCCTTTGCCTTACAGAAGCTTCTTAGTTTCAGGAGGTCCCATTTATTAATTGTCAATCTTAGTGTCTGTGCTACTGGAGCATTTCTCTTTAATCATTTTCTAAATATCATTAACATTTTAGTTTCTGTTATTTCCCACTCCCTTGACATAATTGGGCTTTACTCTATATCATTACATAACAAGTCAAATGTTTATATCTAGCTAGGTACATGTTTTACAAAAAGAACAAACTAAATGAATAATTGCCTCATAGCTTATTGTAACTTGACTGTCTGGTACCTACATTCAGTACTTTGACATTTATCCTTTCTTATTCTCCATTCTACATGTTTTGTTTGTTTGTTTTATTCCTAACATTTCCACACTGGGTTATTCATATAATCTTGGAAATGTGGTCGTCCACTGCAGCATGGTCGGTCAATTTGTCACGGTTTACAATCTTAATGACTTCTCCTTTCACAGCAGTTTTCAATTACCAATTGATTCTCAGCTGCACTTGAGGAATCTGAGCTAATTTCAGCTTTCCATTTTTGGATTCTGTATGTCTTGTGCTTGCACAACTCTTGCACATGCTGTTGAAACTGGTGCGATTTCACATGTACCCTTATCCTTCTTTTTCCTCATAGTTATCTGCTTTGTCCCTTTCAATGTGCTTTCCCCAAAGTGATCCTTGAGATTTGGGAGGAGTGTGATATAGATATCTCATAGATGGCTGAGAGCCTCACAGTCTCTTATTCTCTGCCCCCCAAGCATTTATTGGTCTCTGTGTCAGTAATTATCTACTGTAAGTAGAATGGATATAAGGATAATTAATTAGGAATCAATTTAATAATATGTTTATCTATCAGAATAATAGTACCTCTCCATATTGTAATGATATTTTGCAGAAATAGATTGCCTGCAAAACTCATGCATGGAGGGAAGAACTTTTGACTCTGCCACCTATTCACAACTCAGTGTCAATTCTAAAAGTCAATCCAATTAATCTAAAGAATGTAAGAAAATAAGAGGGAGTAACTAGAGTAAAGAAGGAAGTAGAGGCTTCTTTTAAAAATATTAGGATTACTTTGGCTACAATACTCACTAAATACCCCCAAAGAAGCTATTGTCTATACAATACTAAACTATTTTAAAGATAGAAAATGACCTTGGGGTTACAGTGCTGTTGAAGAAAATGGACCAGACTTTATAATCCATCTAGAGTGGTTGTGGCTTAACTTTTCCCAATGCTTTTGTAATAAGAGATACTTTCATTTATGGTGGTGGATTGCTGAATATCTGTTCAGGATAAGTAGCATTCATTATTTAATGCATACACAGTAGTTATTCTTAGTAGGTTCTAACTTAGTGATATTTTTAAGTACAGTGCACTTACCTGGGATACCCCAAACCTCTCCCTTTTCAACTGTTAATCATAGGCATCTTCAAAGCTCTCCATGATATCAATGCTATCAATGATAACATAAATTTAACATACTGTAGAAACTCATATATAACAAAGGAATGTGTACAGAGAGTTCAGAAACACAGGAGATGCTGTATTTACCTTTCTTGAATAGTGTCCTATCCTTCCAGTATTTGTCACCATTGATTTTTTTTCAAATAGAGTTAACTTTATTCTCCATTGAACATTAGATGTGATGGGTTCATTAAAATGGCTTGTGAAATTCCTTAGGAAACCTTTCAGGCACTTAAATGAATAAACAATCTCTTAAATTATGGATATATAGCTTTGATAAGTTTACTTTCACAACCTCTACCTCTTCTGGTCCCATGGTACAAACTCAGCTTAAGGCACTTAAACTTAACATGGCAGAAAAAAACAATGGAATTCATAAAATGTAGCAATAGATTGTAGTTGACTATGGGCTGAGAAGGAACATTATTCACAGGGGAAACATGAGCATGCTTCATTTAACTGAATGACCAAGAAGAGGCAAAGATGTGGATATGTGAGCTGATAGCACAGCAGGAAGGGAAATAAGCTGGAAAGGCTTTGGGAAAAGTGTCCAGAGCACTGTAGTGTGAGCTGTGCTGACACATTGAGAAGTGCCTGGCCAAAGTGATCTTAAGGATGGATACAGTCTGTGCCTTGCAGAATATTAAGCAGAGCATAGTGGGAAGATGTAGTGTCACCACATTTTAGTCCTTGATTTGAGCCAGCAGTTCCACTGAGAAGAATAAGATTGTACATAGAAATTTGGGGCCAGCATACTGATTTCAACATTTCTGTGCAGTACTTGAGTTAAAGAGTATGTGTTCAAAATTCCAAATCAAATCCACATCAGCTCCAAA